ATGCGTGTACAGTCTGTGTCGTATCTGCATCAAACATACAGAGTCAAAACTCAAGTACTGGTTACTGTGCCATACTTGTATTTATCACACGTACCGTTTATACATCATACCTAATATTGCTTAATACAGGCGCAGGAATTCACTACTGAACGTAGTCTGACTCATGGGTATGTATAGCTCTTGAATCTCATGAGTGAATAGCCCTTCACTTCAGTATAGCGACTGTCAGGTTGAAAATATACTTGGTTCTATGATTCAGGAATAACTGTAGGCTTTAAGTAGAAGAAGCAGTGCTATATAAACAATTGACCATAGCCTTTTAAATTGACAAAGGCTATGAATCGACACTATCAATCATCTATTATACTGTGTTAGGTCTCTTGTAGTATACGTATTCAGCTCTAGATTGTAGATGTACTCCTGTATGGGTTTTACGCGCAATTGGTGTCCGTGCACCAAAGAGTTACACGTACGTGTATGCAAATTTATTTGTAGAAGTGTATAGTCTTGTATAGGAAATACACACGCCGACAATAGTTCTTAAGCACTTCGCACATGGACATACTATATGCACAATGTCGCATGCGCAATGTTCGAGATACACATGTATAGCCATTTGTGAGATTAATGTACTCTCGGACATACTTTAGAAATAATTTCAATATGATATCCCCACTGAGACATCTGCATATATAAGTTGGGAACTGGCCGTTATAGAGAATACACGCTTGAAAGTTGGGGAAACATTCACACAGCAATGTGTCTATTTGTATTTATATAGGTTCACACTTGAAATAGTCGACATAAGATAAGTCTATGTAATTGCGGTTCGAGCCGTCAATTATAGATACAAAAATAGACCATGCATTGGTGACAACGGATTGATACTTCATCCAGTATGTGTGTATATATCGAATATATTTGCGTATGTTTTTCCAACATGTGACCCAGTGAAGACCTAGAGGTATAGATATAGCAACGATTGGCTTATTCCAACAAAAAAAACGGCTAATATACGTGCTGTGTTCGAATACTACATCCATCGATATGGGCATTATTATATTTTTAGGCACACATATAAAATGTTCTTGTATATTTAATACGTGTAAGCAAACATGGATGTTTAAATATGATTATATATGTATATAATCCGATGTGCATATATATATTAATATATTTATCTAAATATATATGTATATATATATATATGTATATGTATATATATATATATACATATATATATATATATATGTATATATGTATGTATGTATGTATGTATATATGTATATTTATGTATAATATATATATATATATATATATATATGTGTGTGTGTGTGTGTGTGTGTGTGTACACGTGTGTATGTATATATGTATATGTATATGTATATATATATACATATATATATATATATATGAGCGTGTCTGTGTCGGTGTCGGTGTGAGAGTCTGTGTCTCTGTCTGTGGCTGTGGCCGTGGCTGTGGCTGTGGCTGTATCTGTGTCTGTGCCTGTGAATGTCTTCTATATATATCTATTGTC